GAGAGAGAAAGGAGGCGGGAAGAGAGGGAAAGGGGGAGATGAGAGTGGTAAATGATTTTAGGGTTTTGGGGTGAAATTTGTATATATAATATTTAATATTTAAATATCAAATACCTGATTTTTGAATAATTGAACCTTTACCCCTGATTTTTGAATTTGGATCTTCAAATGTAGGGTTTTGTGTAATTTTCCCCATATAAAAATTGAAGTTGTGCTACATTGTACATTAACTTACATAATGATTTAACAACATATGATGTGACAATATTTAATTGGATCAAAATCCTATCAATCAAATAACTTTTTCATTTAAATTTTGACATCTTATAATTATGTAAAACATTATGTAAGTAGTTATGTACAAGAAATATTTTCCTAAAAATTGTGTTAATTAAAGATGATGAGAAATCAATAAATTTTTTTTGATAAAAAAAAATGAAGAGCCAAAATAGAGAATATTTACTCTTTAAATTTAAAGGTCTCTAATATACGTTATTGACCTCCAAATTCAATGAGATCCAGCTATCGATAGATTCGATTCATCTCATGCCCACATGTATATTATTTGCACACTAGGACACCAGCATTAGACTGCACATGGCTGTAACTCCAATAGGATGCGACAATTGCAGGTACTCCAAAGTGACAATGGAAGATATTTTGGTGTTGGATAGACACAATAAACAGAAATGCTGGTGCCAAGTTGAACAAGGAATTACCACTCTTTCATTAGGATTCAAGATTCAACTTAAAATTATCTTTGAATGTCACTATTTGTGAGTATTTATTGCTCATAGAAATTAACCTAGTCCACTAGATGTATGATCTCATTCTAACATCTCACTAGTCAAGTTTAATGGTGTCAATTCATAATCGTCATAGGTCTATGTTAGGCTAAAAAGTTAATTGACTGAGCGACGCTGCTGCAAAATTGTCACATCAATTAACCAAGTGTATGTACGGCATGACTGATGCGAAGAATGTGGAAGAGGTCCACTACAGAAGATGTCATTCACCTTGGAATTGTATTAAGGCGGGAAAGCGATGTCCCCATCTGAAGGGCAGGGTACACAAATTGAGAAATGCTAGAGGAACATAAGGGTACACATAGCATTTGACACAATTGCCA